TAGCACCGGGCCTCCCCGCACTCTTCCCGGAGGCTCGGGGCCGCGGCCGAACCCAGCCCCCCCCGGGCGGAGCAAGGCCGGGGCAGTCGGGCTTCTCCCCCGCGCCCGGCTGGGAGCGAGCTCCCGGCTTCTCACCGTTACGAGGCCGACGAAGCAGCGGCTTCCTCAAAGTGACTTTCACCTGCACGACAGGCCACAGAGACACCGGAACCAGCGATGGGAGGGGCTAGAGCAGCGCCGGAAGAACGGGCGCGAGGACGCGCTAGTCCGGCCGCTCGTCTTCCTGTGAGGGAGCGCGGCACGTGGTTTATTTCTGCCAGTGTAAATGGCCACCCATTTCAAATTCATGGCGGCGGTGGGTGTAGTTAAAAACTACATAAAAAAACATAAAAACCATACAAATAGAGTCAGCAGCAGAGATACAAAAAGGCATTATCAGGGAGAAGCAGTCCCTCAAAAACTCAGCCCCACACCATGAATGGGACCCAACCATAGTTGGGTACCCTCCAGTTATACAGACTTCAACTCCCAGAATTCTCCACCATGACTATCCTGGCTGGGGAATTCTAGGAATTGAAGTCCATACATCTCGAGGCGTCCAGTTTAAAGGAGGCTGTGCTAAGTCAAATTCAGACAAATTGCAGCCGGGGAGAGCAGCTATCCAGTGCTGTGCACAGCCAGCTTTCCTGATCTCCATTCTTTCAAAACTGGATCCTGGACTGGAAAAAGTGGAGTGGTTTCAAACTCGCCTCACAACACTGAAAATTTGTGGAACTATGGCTTCTATCTGTTGCCACTGCTATTAACAATACAGGAACAATCATTTTTCCCCACCACACAAGCAAATTGGTCTACTGAATGCAGGCTGTCTTTCTGTGGTTAAACTATGGTCTAACTGCCCCACCCCTGATTTGGCTTTTTGAGGTTTGAGAACATTTCCAGTTGGAATAATTATTTTCTTAATTCTGTCTACCTTCCAGCCCAAAGCTGAAATGGCTCCCTTGAATTCTGCACCAACATCTCATGCACACACCATTAATCACATTTTGGGGTTTCTGCTTTCCGGAAGGCCCTCTTTTTGTTGATACATATCCAGCCTTCTTATCAGTGTCATTTTCTCTCTCATGCTCTGTGATTGAGCCAATAATGCAAGGGTGAGAACCTGGCATGTTCTCAACATCTGTCCCTTGGCCTTCGGGTGGAAAGGAACAAAGTACTCAGCCAAATATTTTAGCCTGTGCTTTCTTCTTGCCAAAACCGTTTCCTACTTCTAAAGTCCGGGTGGACTCTTTGCCACGCAGACCTGATACTATGGCACTGATGAGATTGCTAGCAAACCTTCTGATGCTGCAGCTTTCTTACGGTAAGAAACTGGAGCCAGGGTGGATGGAGATCTAGGCGTCTTTTTTGTTTAAGCCCCCAGTTTCATGAGTGACCTTGCATGTAATTATTAAATCTAGATGCACAACCGGGGCACAGGCAGAGAGTGGGGGAAGAAGACCCAGACCACACAAATGGGGAAAGTCCAAAGAATTTTGAAGTGTTTGCAACAATGATATGGATGGATACATTTCATTCACGTCAGCAAAACTAATCAGTTAACAAATATCAGATCAGTTCTGCGACTCTGGAATTGACTTTTCCAACAGGGCAATCCTTGCACAGAGCGCTGGAGGAATTTGAGAAGCCTCCCAATGCCCATCAACTGATTTAAAACCTCTTGATATCTTGACAAAAACCATTTAACTAGACCTGTTTTTCCCAAATTAGTGCCTTTGAACAGCTTTGGGAGACAATAACTCCCATTCCCAGGCAGTGACCAACCCTGCTGGTTGGAGACAACGGGAATTAAAATCGTGTATCTGGGGGGTCAACTGGGAAAGGTGAAACTGTGTCACTTTGCCTATTTTTAATCCTTTCAGAGACTTATCCCAAAGTCCCTTATTGTGTTGACATTCAGACAGTCCATAAGTATTTCCAGCTTTCTTTCATGTTTCCATTTATTTGGAAACTGACTTCAGTAGAGAAGATAATATATTAATATAAGATGCATCAAGAAAAAGGTTGGGGAGGGGTTCTCAGAGTCTTAGGATGGTCTGGAAGAAATGGTGCATGAAATGGTCATTGATTTTTGTTCAAACTGGTTTAAATCTATTGGATTAAACGTAATTTCCATTCTCTTAGAACACAGATTGGCTGCCTAGCACAGCATACAACATCTGGGTCATTGCTTCTGAAACAAATATCAAAACTTGCATGTAGGGAGTTTACTGCCATCAGTGTTGGCTCAAACCGTTTTGTTTTAGTGAATTAAATCCAAATGTTATCTACTTCGTGTCCAGCTTCATAGATTAAATCCCATTTTCATCAATCTCTCCCCCACTTTCTCTCCTTCTGCCCCCTATTCTGCCCCCGCATGGGGCCACCTGAAAGGAATATTTTGCTGAGTGGTACACGACAAGAAGATAAAACTCTGGGCCAAATGCTGGTAAATGTCCCTCCTTTTTAGAAGCAAATTTGAACTATTTTGCTTACTTCAGCTTAGTGGAATTTGATTGGCAGTGATACCATCAAGTTCCTGAGCAAGAAGCGAAGCAAACTGATGCTGTGACTTCTGCTAAGACCCGCAGCCTCTCACACTTCAGCAATCAGAAAGGCAGAAGCCATTTCATCATGCTACATGACCTATTTGCAGCATTTCTGGAGATGTTAAGGATAGTAATTTTAAGAACTGAGGCTTGAAAGTCAAACATCCCTTTTTCCTTGGTCCCAGTTTTCAGCTCCAATCCAGGGATCCTAACTGGTATGCAAGAAAGTCCTGGAAGGTAGAGCTGTGCAGACCTGCAAAGGGAGAGTCACCTTTAGCCATCTGTTAACAACTAGTTCCCCATCGTGCAGGCAAAGGGAGAGTGAGTTAAAAGGGATAAACATCTGTTTCCATCTTTGCTTGTACAAGCTTGCTGATCATGGCCTTTTCTTGGTGTGACTGTGCTGGGGAATTCTAGGAGTTGAAGTCCACACATCTGAAAGCTCCCAAAGTTGAGAAACACTGGTTGAACTGGTTGAAAATACAAGAAGCTCACTGATACTGCTGTTTTCAAGGGGCTCTAAGGAGCTTCTACAGTTCGAGCAGCAAGACATTGTCTTAAATAATGACACGGTCCTGGGATGGGAATTCTGGGGATGATAGAAGTGTGTACTTCACTTCCACATTGAATCAGTCGGCCCTCCTGTCTTAGAAACCTTTCTATCCCCAAATCGTAGCAGCACTCACCAAGTGGCAAGACAAAGCAGAGCCTGCTTCAGTAAGGCATTTCAGTGTTAAGGTCCTGGGTGTATGTTATTTCAGAGCCTGGTGAGCTTAATTTTAATGTTTAATGAAACGTTTAATGAAAAGAGATCCGCTTTCATAAAACCATGTCTGGAAGTAGATTAAAATTTCCTGTGTTCTTATCTTAAACAGGAAGATAAGATCTTAAACTCTGTTCTTATCTTAAAGATTCAGAGGAAGTTTATATACATGGGCGTATCCATGTATGTGACTTGCAAGTTTTCCGTTTTGTTAAAGTGGTTTGAAGCTGTGCAGTCTGCTTTGCCCCCCCCAAATTGGTGTGTTGGTAGAAACACTACTAATAAAAGTGATGCTGTTCCATTCTCCAGCCCAACAGTGAACTTTCTTGGTCTCTTTGCAGTGTCAGCGTATCAGGATCGGATCATTGGAGGTGCTGAATGTAACAAAAATGAACATCCTTTCCTTGTGCTCTTCTATGACTCTCTCGGTCCTTTCTGCTCCGGGATCTTGCTCAATCAGGATTGGGTGCTCACTGCTGCACACTGCTACAGGTGAGGGCATTCCAGAACAAGGAAGTGTCGAGGGAGATCTTGTTTAGATTTCAAGATTTTTTACAGTGCTTCTGCTAGTTTGTAGTGGTTTCTGTGTGCGTTTTGAAAGAGTACCTCCGTTCTGCTGCTGCTGCTGCTGCTGCTGCTCCTCCTCACAATCATATCTTGAGCAATGATGTTTATATCTATGGTGGCATCTCCTTTTCTTTCGCCATCGTATTTATATCTTTCCTTTTTTCTGGATAATGGCGATCCTCCTCCTCCCCCCCCTCCTCCTCCTCCTATTCCAACACCAGGAGCACCACTTGAACACCATCGGCATTGACAAAATCACCATCAGTCCATTGCAACAGGCAGCTTTATTTGGAACAGCCTCCATCCTGCAACGATGCCTTGAACACCATCAAGCAACATTTGCCCATCCCAGGTCCTTGGGAAGGACTTGACAGGTGGATAAAAATGCCAAGTCCAGTCTAAACATCTGGCTGACTGTGCGACCAACCATACTATATTAATGGTTGGTCACACATACATCACATGCCGCCTGACTCTCAATGACTCTAGGCAGTTTGCAGTAACTGAAGAAACTACAATAAATTTCACAGAAGATAAAGGATGGCAAGTACGATTGAGGAAGGGGTCTCTTTCTCTCTCTCTCTC